TACAGCTTGGTAACACTGGTGCCGTAGACCCGGCTGGATTTTAACAACATCGAATCCAGTAAACAAAAAAATCCGACCAAGTACCAAACAACAGCCAAGTAGTACAACCCAATACATGATTGATTATATGGATCAACGATATACCGGCAGATAGACTGAATATTGGAAAAGGAAGTTTCTCTAGTGTATAGAGTTATTCGTACGAACAGTACGTGGGAGCGAGTTTGCTCATTCTTAACCCGCGGGGGGCCCTCACACGTAAACAAGCAAGTGATATTTATATAGGTTAGTGGGTTGAGGCTGAACGGAGAAATAAATACCGTTCAGTCATCCAAAATAAAAAAAAAAAGGGGTTGCTGATCATAAAGATCATTCAGATCGATTAGAAGTTGTTTTTTTTCGAATCCCACAACGATCATTTTAACGTTAATTCTTCACCGCAACTTCATTGTTGGGTACGATTATCGTTCATTGACGATACGTCGTGTATCAAGGCACTCCGTCGTCGGTGCTAATTCTCAGCGTCGTCGTGGAAGGAAGCGATAACGGTCGGTAGTAGGTTATTACAGGTTTCCATACCTATAACCATAGGTAGCAGTTGCTACTTGCTCTACACCTAAGCAGTACTTCCGGGAGTTAGGGTTATTCGTCTAGTCGTCGAAAACGTCGCTCCAATTACGCTCTCGAATAATCCCCAGGGTTCAGCATCTGCCCATACAACCACAACAGCAGATACAAATGGCGGATCCGAACAAAGCCATTGCCAATATACCAGACTTTAGTGGGGAATCAACCGATAAAATTGAATCATGGTGTCTTCGTATCGAATATGCATTTGCGTCACAAAACATCCAAGACCCTGCACGGTTGTTGGTTATTCCAATAAAGTTAAACGGTCAAGCATTGCTGTGGTACGATCGTATACATAGAACAACACCATTTCAAACATGGGCAGCATTCGTTCAAGCAATAACAGCTGAATTTTCACCACAAAAAAGTTTATTGCAAATGGATCGAGAAATAAATCAGAGATT